TCTAGTTACTCTAGGAAAATCCATAAAGGTGAAGTGCTTAGAGACAAAAGAGAGACAACTGAGGAGCATGCCTCAGACAAATGCGTCTACTTCACTCTGATTAAATATCCACAAAACCTATGTTCAGCAGACTCTCCTTAAAACATCTAGTCCTGACCTCACATAAGCTGTTCTAGGCATTTCAGGCCTGAGCAATGGGACAACAGAACTGATCCCCCAACCACCTCTCAACTCACCACAAATCCCTCGAGTGCACAGGATCCCCAGCTCCACACAGCAGTCCAGCGCTTCTGAAAGCCTTTCTCCAGAATCCAGGGGTACTGTTTTTGAGGTTAAGGCAGTGTAGGCAGCTGCCTTACCCTCAATTCTACTCAGAGAAAGGCCCTGGCCCTGTCCACTCCTAATTCCAGCATACTCCCTTTCCCTGAAGAGATGGGCATCTTTATTTTCTTTGCACATTTGCCCCAGTGAAAGGGAGGCACCAAACCCAAGTCCACTTAATTCCAGAAGCTATCAAGGGAGCAGCCCTTGGGCTGGACAGGATCAAGACAGAAGCTACAGATTTCCCAGGAGGAAACAGACTAAGAGACTGGCGGTGCCAAGATTAGGAAACCCAAAGGAGAGAAATGATGGAAGGTGTGGGGCTGGAGTTAGGGCTCCTGGGAACAGATGTATTTGCCTTAAAACACCAGAGAAGATGCAAGGGGAACAGAGGAAAGAAAAGGTGACAAAGCAGGGATTGGGTGTGGGGGTAGAAGCTTGTGGCCCAAGCCTGCCTGGGGGAGGGGGCTTTCCTCACTGTAGGTCTAGTTTCGTTTGCATTTCTTGAAACCATAAGTGCTGAGCAGCCTGGGAAATGGTGTTGAAGGACCTCGCAGTCCCAGAAAATGAGTTGACTCTGGCCACGCCAGATTCTTGACTCCGATATAGGCAAAGGTGCCTTCCAGGACTTTTTTTAACTACCGTTCCCTAAATGAGGCTCTTTCGCCAAATTGCAAGGGACTGGACCAGAAACACAGCTAAAAGCGTTATAGAAGTTGGAGATAACTTGTCCTCTCTCCAATTCCCCTGGGCCAAACAGAAGCGCATCCAGGCGGACGTCAGCCAAGCGTTCAGCCCTAGCTCCTAACCTGCACTGCCTCACTGCTACCGCAACTGCAAGGCCTCCACAACGAGGGGCCAGGAAAACCTTGGCCAAGGACGGTGGCTGAGTGTGCACGCGTTTAAATTTGGTTTTGTCCCCGACCTCTTTTCCCCAAGAATTTAACACGTTCCCCTTTAGCCCGGTGAAAGCACCGGGTGGTCCCAACTCAGCGACCAGACTTTGGGCTCTCCTTTCCTGGATTCAGGAGAGTAAGAACCAGTCAGGGAGGCAGGCCTGGCCAGGAAGACTTCCCAAAAGAGCCGGCACTCGGAGGTTCCAGGCGCGCCTGACCAAGCTGTCGCGCTCACCGCCTCGTCCTTACCTGGCTTGGCGAGCTGCGCCTGCAGCGCACCGGGCTGGGGTTCGGAGGCCCAGCGTAAACCGGCGGCAGCGGCCAACTCGGCGG